TCTATTTAATTTTAACATATTTACAGAGGTTGTTGGATTTGTCAACTCAAGTAAATGATTGAGGCCAAAATCTCAATCAATGGAGGTTTATTAAGCCAAGATTTTGAGGGTGTACCTGGCAAAAACATGAAGCACAGACAAGCCGTGGCTGTTTTTCCAAAGGGAATGTTGGAAACTTCAGCATTTAAAAGCATATATAGAGAAAGAAAAAGCTGAGGTAGCTGATCAAGCAAACCGGTTACATTCTTGTGAGGCCTGGGAAATTTACATTTTACATAAAATAAGGGAAAGGTTAGAAGGGAAAAAGGGAGGGAAGGAAGCAACAATTATGTCAATATCATGGAGTAGGTGGAAGAATGTGTGATTCTATCTTGTCCATTCTGTTACCTGCAGAGATAAACTAGTATTTGTTATTAGTGTGGATTTGGGACACAGGTACAATTTTCATGTCTTTGCTTATGGAAGGTTAGCAAGGAATTTCCTTAATGAATGATTTGTGAGCGAAAAAAAAAATTCCACTCACTCGCTCAAACCAGAAACCAGGGTTTGATCTTTGAAACATCCTGCATCTTTATTTTTCTATATCCAATAAACCACCAGTCCTTGTAGCGTGTACCTCATAAATATACCTGGAATCTATCTTCTGTCTATTGTTGCCACAATCCTAGCTTAAGGTTTTAATCTTCTCACCTGCAATGTGTTGTCTTTGAGACTGCTTCTACATATTCTGCAATCCATTCTTGTGCTCTATCCAGTAATCCATTTTTTTTTCACACTATAATGTTATGTTTAAGACACTAACCAAATATCTCCCCTGGTTAGAGCTTTTCAGTGGTTTCTTACTGTCTCAGGATAATGTTTATAATTCTCGGGCGATTTGGGAGTTTCTCAATGACCTGGTGCTGCATACCTTCTAGGCTCACTTTGTGATATTCAATTTCATCCTCTGTTTTTCATCATCCTGGCTTTATCTTGGTTCCTCAAAACGATTTGTTTTTTCATACTTGACAATATTTTCCCAGGGTCTTAGTCTGGACACTAATCTTACTTCTTGCCTTGCTAATTCTTTCTCATTATTCCAAATTTAGTTGAAATATTACTTCTTTAAAGAATCTTCTTGTGAATGCCCAGATTAGGTTAAACTATTCTATATTTTCTACACTTTATACTTCTCATTGGTACTAATAATCACACTTGTAATTACATATATAACATTTCTCTTTTCCATTAGATCATCAGACCGTATTATTTTTTCTTACTTATAACTCGGTATCTCATACTTTGCTTTACTCAGAGTAGATGCTCATTTGTATTTGTTGAACAAATGATTTAATAAACGTTAAAAACACTATAGTTGAGTTATGAGAAAATGAAATTAAGAAGTATTTGCATCACCTTTATGTATATTAATTCTCTTAATTATGTGTGTGTATATGAAAGACAAAAACAATTTTTAAAGTATAATTAAGATAATGACTATCAAATACAATTCTTTATCAATCTTTTTTTGCCATGAAATTTGATATTTATTATGTTGGCATTTTAAAGATTGTTAAAAATTCATACCTTCTAAGGAATAAACAAATTAGATTTATTATACTTTATATATTTAGCCAAGAAACTGAACTGATAGATTTGGGAAAGATTTTCAAGAGATGCATGTAAAAGGTATATAGAATGAAGTGTTAACCTGAAAATGAATCTTAAAATATTATTTAAACCATTCTAATAAGTCATGACTCATATAGGTATATTATTTCCTAGCCAAAATCACTTTTTCAAGAATTGTCAATTTTTTATCCCCATGTTTGTGGTGAAACGTATGTTTCATTAAAGCAAATCATACTTCTTTAACTTTCTGTCATGGAACTCAGAATTTGTCAGCAGGTGTGACTTGAACTTTGACAACCAGACCTCATGTTCTGTTCCAGTCTTTCTTAGCCTTTCTTAGCCTGACTTACTGCTTCTTAGTTTACTATGGTACCTGTAGCTATATTAAAGTGAGTTTCATAATTTTTTGTTTTTTCAAAACTTTTACAGAGCCATAGGGTGATCTTTAAATAAAGTATTAATGGTTTGATGCTGAAATTAAAGATTCCTTTAGGCCATATCATCTCGTTATTGTTAATAATAATGATGATAATAATTATGATATGTAACATTTTTTGAGCACCTACTTTGTGCTAATGCTTTAAATACATGCACATGTTTACATGTATTAATATACAAGGGCTGTCGGGAAAGTATCCAGCCATGTAACCATTTTTGTTATATTAACAATGGCTGGATACTTTCTGCATAGCCCTTGTATTTATTGTGCTTATTTCTTACCTCAACCTGTCATATACATAATATTATTGCCACCACTGAACATATGAAAAAACTGAGCCAAAAAAAGGTAAACTAACCTATCTAAGGTCTGATTTTATGTTCAAAGATTTATTTTAAACAGGGATTAAATGGGCACATGGGTTGAACATGCCATTCTGATATGATATGTAGGGCATGTCTGGGTTTAGGCAATGTAATACAGCATTAACTCAACTCAAAATATCTTCACCAAAAAAGGGTTAAACATCTTTTAATTTTTATTAAAAACAATATTTTTTCAAATATTTCTCACAGAAAACTTGAAAAGGGTTAGAAGTTCGTCTGAAAAATCTCATTATCATGAGATCATGAGATAAAGGAGAACGAGAAATTCTTTTCCATTCTGAAAATGTAATAAAAACAAAACCTCCTCCAGATCCATTGTTTCAATATTAAATGTGGTGATTTTAAGGAATTTCTCATAATTTTAAATCTCCCTTTTATCATCATAATTTAGAAGCTAGACTATTTCATTTATAAGCAAAGAAATAAAAATGTTATTTAGTGACAGCCAGTAAATGTCTGCTTTCCATATTATAAAGTAATGTATAAAATGATCAAAAGTAAAATGATCTGAAGGAGAACTGGACATGTAATTTAACAACAATTATGACATATTAGAGAGGACATCCCTATTAGTCTCTGATTTAAGTAAGACATCACAGAAGTATGGATAATATATGTGGTAGGCAAAATTATAGACTCTCAAATATTCTCCTGTTTCAATTCCTGAAACTTGTGAATATGTTAAATTACGTGGCAAGGAGGATTTAAGGTTGCAGGTGAAACTGTTTCCTGATCAGCTGACTTTCAAATAGGAAGATTATGTGTGTGGGCCCAGTGTAATCGCAAGGGTCCTTAAGAGTGGAAGATAGGAGCAGAAGACATTAGACTGATGTGATGTGAGAAGGACTGGACTACTTTTGCTGGCTTTAAAGATGGAGAAAGTGGACGTAAGACCAGGAATGTAGAAGACCTCTAGAAGCTGGAAAGGGGAAGGAAATGGATTCTTCTCTGGAACCTGCAAAAAGGAATACAGCCCTTATGATACCTTGATTTTTGTTCAGCAAGACCCATGTTGGATTTCTAGCCTGCAGAACTGAAAAATAATAGATTTTTTTTCCTTTTTTGTTGCTAAGTTTGTGATGCTTTGTTAGATCAGCAATAGAAAATAAATACAATGTGCAAAATGGAAACTGCTTCATAAATTGATTGGAAAATCAGGAGCTAGAAGAAATATAGAAGACCACAAACACAAAAGCCTTCTATTATTGGCTGAAAAGCTCAATTAAATCCAAACATAAATATTTAAAGCATTTTATCAGTAATGACAACTCCTGAGTATACTACAATTGGTTATAATCTTCTATCCAGATCAACTTGCAAGAGGTCAATTTCCATGGAGACTTAATTACTCACCTGGTCTCAAAGTGAAAGTATAGAGACAATGTAGGCACTTGTCAGAAAAAAGAAAGACCCTGCCAGCTGCTTCTACTTTCTAAATCTACAAAGTTATAAATATCCTCCAAGTAGTTCCAGTGTTCAGAATAGGAACAAAAATATTTCTTTACAAAAGAACAAGTAAAAAGAAGCTTTCCAAAAATGTCTGTACTTAATCCAAAAAGTTCTGGCTATATTAGAAGGTGTATCTACAGGGAGAGATAAGAGGGGGATGAAAGGAACAAATTATGAGATTGAAGAAAAATGATCTTTATTTCAGATAACAAATTTTAGACATAGAATATTTACCAGTTTTTTAATATATATAAATGTCAAGGATAAAGATTGTGCCAATATGTGACATGCCAAAGCCTAATCAGGCTAAACCAGGGGTCCTCAAACTTTTTAAACAGGGAGCCAGTTCACTGTCCCACAGACCATTGGAGGCCGTTGGAGAATAGGGCACACATTCCACACATGCGCACTGTGGGCCCAGGATGAGTCAGCTGCTAAGCAGGACAGGCAGCGGTGGCAAAAACACCCCACGGGCTGGATAAATGTCCTCAGCGGTCCGCATATAGCCCGTGGGCCATAGTTTGAGGAACCCTGGGCTAAACTCACATTTTCAGTAATGTGGAGACAAAGTATATAATGATGGCAGCTAACCTGACTACTGTGAAGACTGAGCTGGAAAGATGATCTGAAATTCCCAAGTCTCTCTTCATCAGCTGAGTCAATTGTATGTATCATGCACACACACACACAGACACTCATATTTTAACTAAATATAAACCTGACCTTTCTCAGCTCAATTTGATGTATGACTACAGAGAAGACAACAACCACATAGATATATTTGTCTTTTTATTATTTGCATTACATCACTTTTTCTATTTCTAATTTGGAACTGAGTGATAAGATTAACATTTTAATATTTTCATAAGCTCTGGTTTTATTTTCACCTAAGTGAAGATAAGAAATACCTGGGGAAAACATTAATCTCCAATCAATCTCCATCAGCTGACCTTTTATGTGAACAACTGGACATTTTCTTAATCACGTAT